TAGCTTTATGGGTTGTTTTACTAGGAGCTAGTTGTTTAGAACTTTGGTGTTGATTAGAAAGTTGAGTTGTGGTGTTTGGCCTTAGTGTTTGTTATGCTCAAAGAACTTCGTTGGTTAACTCTTTCAACCCTACAATGCCATGACTTTTTGACCATTTTGTATCTCTTGAATCCTTAAAGTTTTGACCAAAAGGATGTTCTTGATTCTCTTGTCACATTGTTGTTTCGTTTTGCCGTTTTGTTTGAATTCGTCGTACCCAAGCTTTGGGGACGAAGCTTCTTTTAGGGGAGAGAGGATGTGACAACCCATAAATCCAAATCCTATTTAAGGATTAATTAGATAATTAATCCTAGCTTAATTGGTAATTTATTCCTAAAATCCTGAAAATTCAATAGTCGGGGACTAGAAATTGACTAGTCAATCCAAGTCTATGGGTTGTACTTTACGCTTTGAGAGTTGTTCCCTTGTCTCCTTACACATTTCCACTTTAGTAAGGGTAAAGAAGACTTTTCACCTTATGTTTGTATCCCAAGCTAACCTAGAGTCATCTTTCATTTCTTTTCCCTAACACCCTAAAAAGAAAAGCTCCTCCTTCTCTCTAGAAAATAGCTAGCTTCTTCTTCAAGCCAAGTTTGGGCAATTCAAGATTCTTCAAGATGGTCTCCAAGATTCAAACTTTCTTAAGCTTGAGCATATAGGAGGGTAAGATCCTTGGTCCTTTAGTGTTTTTAGTACCTTTTAAGGTGTCTATTTCTAAAGATGGAATCTTTGTGGTCTTTTGGTGTGTTTGTGAAGTAGAAGTTGAAGGAGAGCCTTGTTAGAAGCTTGTAAAGGTGTGATAAGCGAAGGTTTAGGCTACAAGAGGCAACCCATGCTTTACAAAATCTATTTTCTTACCTATATGATGATTTCTTGACTTCTACTTGTGATTTTGCTATGAAATGTGAGATTGGATGCATTGTCTTGTGAAAATGCATATCTAGAGCTTATTATTAGGATTCTTGTATGCCATTGCTTGGCTATTTCTTGGATTCAAGTTATATTGTTGTATTTTGTGAGATTTTGGGTGTTTTGGACTTGAATTTGGACTTGGTGTTGAAAATCCCCGAAGGGATTAATTGTGGTACAGGTTGTACCCGCGGGCGGAACTGCGGGTAGTGCACCACCTGCCGCCCCACCCACGGGGTACAAGCCCTTGGGAGGATGGTTCCCGCGGGCGGAACCACGGGTGGAGGTCCACCCGTGGCTCCACCCGCGGGGTACATGATGTTGGCTGTTGGGGATTTGTTCCCCGTGATTCTTTTGACTCAGTAATTGATGTTTTGACTTCCCGATGTTCTTTTGTTGGACTATTTGAGCGTCTTCTTGATGTTTCGTATGTCTAGAACGGTATGTTAGGAATCCATGTCGGATTTGGTGTCTTGAATCGTGCTAAGTGTTCAACCTTGTGATTTGTTGAACCATGATGAGTCTTGTATGTTCTTCGGAACTATGTTTGGTTTACCCGTTTGATAAGCATGCTAGTTTGATGTTGAAATGCTAGCGTGTGTGGTTTGTTCTTTCCTATTGTGGATGATAACTTGTGTTGATCATTGTTGGTGTCGGATTGTAATCCTTCCTTGATTGAGTATGGTTTCATATCTTTGTTGTGATCCATTAATTGATTCCTATGATGATGGGTGTGTTGGTTGTACCTGGATTGCATGATTAATGGTATGGGACATTAATCACCAAGGTACAGATGTGGTCCTCGTGGTGGCCTCGAAATGATATTATGGAGTTGTTGTAACACCCCGTGTTACGGCCCCTAAAACCAATTAATCATTAACCAATTATCCAAAAGAAAGAATTAAATTATAATAATTAATTAAGAAAAGACCCACCATAGTCCGTGGGCCCTCACCTTTAAAATTCAGCCCCAGCCCTAAAAGGAATAGAGTTAGCAACCTATAGTACCTAGACCCAAATTAGGACTCTTGGGTATATAAATAGGGAACGTGAAAGGCACCTAGAACCCCCCAACCACAATAATCTCTCACCACACCAAGAATTCCAAGAATTCCCCTAGGAGAAATCAAGAAAGAAGAAAGCTTAAAGGAAGACCCTTCATAGCTAAGGAATTAATTAAGGCTAAGAGGTAACCCATGTCTCAACAAAACCTATTTTCATAGCTATGATTCCCCTCTTAGGATTTCCCCCATATCCTAGTGTGTTGATGATTCGTTATAATGATATTGATAATTGGTGTTATGATTCCATGGGTGATCTTGATGATAAAAGGTTCTTGATGATTATGTGGTGTTCTTGATATTCTTGATGATTATATGATGCTCTTGATGTTTATGTGATATTCCTACCGAATCTTGATATTAGAAGATGAATTGTGTTCTTGTTGAAATAAAAGTAATTAGAACCCTAGGTTGTATCGGGAAACTCGTATGGTGTTGTTCTTGGTATATTGGGTGGGAATTCGTATGTTTGGGTGTTGATTATGTTTAGAAAAGCATGATAGTTTATGTGCCATATGTTCTCACTTTTGGATCCGTTAATTGTCTACGTGTTGTTGTCAATTGCGTTTGAAAGTATCTAAGCATGGTTTCGGGTTCCACAATGGTTCCTGGGGCATTTTCTGTGATAAAAGAGTCAGTGGGGGGTAGGTGGGGGTAGGGGACCGGCCACCTACTCGCGGCCAACATGGGTAACACCGGCAGCGGGCAGCCGGCGGGCGGGCAGCTACCCGCCGGGCACCCGCTGCCCGGAATCACGCCACCGGCGGGCAGCCGGCGGGTGACCCCTCACCCACCGGCTACCCGCTGGAAAATACCCCACTTCGGGATTTTGGCTTCCCCGTTTGATGTTTCCCCAACCCACGTGGCGTCCCAACGGACTCCGTCTATCGTGCCTATGTCTAGTTTGATATTTCGGGTACCGTTCGTAGGTTGTATGAGTCTTATATATTGCATGCTAGTTGAATTTGTATCCCGTTGACCTATGTAAAAGAAGTATGTACCCCTTAGGATTATTCTTAGTATGTGAAGGATCACGCATAGGTTTTGTTATACGTTTTCTCCCCCTTCCCAATGTGTTAATGTGGGTTGCATGTGCTTGCTATGTGTTATGTGTGCATGATACCCCAATCCGGTTGCGATCGGATTGGTTATTCCTGAGCTGCGGTTCAGAAGCTGGCTGCGGTCAGATTTACACTCTCGAGCTGCGGTCCACCGTTTGGTTGCGATCAAACGTTTCTACATGAGCTGCGGTTCATATTTCCTGGCTACGGTCAGATGACATACTCTTGGGTTGCGGTCCACTGTTTGGTTGCGATCAAACTATGATGAGCTGCGGTTCATTGGTCGGTTGCGATCGACCCCTCCGTGTTGCGATACGGGGTAGGGTGCTGCGGGGCCGTGTCAGAGCTATATGCGCTGACCCTCATGTATGGGCATGCGATTGGTCCTGTGGCGCCAACAAAGTGTGTTATGTGATGAGATATGGATGATTGGATTGTTATGGAAGCGTGACCCTAGGATACATGCTAGTAACTGTATATGCTTGTTTATGACTAATGGCTATGCTAATCTCTATCTGCCTGTGAATTGTGCATGCTTGATTATGACTGTTGGTTGTGCTTATCTCTATCTGCCGAGTCTAATCCCCGTTTTGAAAGCTAGAGTCTCTTAGGATATATCTTCATGCTTCGAAAGGGTTTTTTTTCATATATCTATGTATATATCTATATATTGTATTTCAACGCGTTGGAGTGGGTTACCAGCATCTCTCGCTGAACAGATATATTTGGCTTTCAGGCACAGAAGAGTAGACAGTGGAGCGCGCTAGAACCTTGAAGCGTAGAAGTAGTTAATTTCCCTTTCGGCCTGCGTGCCATAATTATGTATTTACATTATTGAGGATAATAGTTAGTTAGCCTGTGCACCTGAGTTCTCTAGCTCAGGTGTGGCATAGCACCTCATACTCTTCATATTATGTTTGGGAATTAATGAGATTTCACCTTTATTATATAAGCTTCAAAAGTCTTAAAATTTCGGGGTGTTACAGTTGTATTATGGGCTTCAGGCTCATGGGCTTCAGGCTCACTTGTTGGCGGTTGTGTGATTGAAATGAACGGTACCCTCGTGTACTATATGTTGGCGGGGGAACGACGGTTCCCGGAGGCATAAGGTTGGACTCAGAAGTACAGGGGTTCTCGGAGGTAATGGTTGGAACTGTAATAAGGTCGGGGGTAGGCATAAGGTTGGAACAGGGCCTAAGGTTGGAACTTGTGACATGAAGTGTCACGGTGGCATGTAGTGCCAATGTGTGATTGTCTATCCTTTTCTGATGAGCATGTCGAGTGGTATCCTACTTTGTGATCAGTAGAATACACCTCGAGTTGTACTTGTGTTGTGGTTGTCTTTGCCTTGATGTTTTCTACTTTGTGATCAGTAGATTATATCTTGTGCTGTTTTGAGTTGTACCATTGTTGTTCTGGTCTGGATGTTGTCTTGGGATGTTGATTTCCCTTGTTCTTTTGAGAGTGAAATAGAGTCTTTACAGTTGACTTCTCTCTTTACGGTTTTGAACTGATATATACTGTATTCCGTTTCGAAAATGATTTTTTGTATTAAACTATCTATATATGTTATTGAACGCGTATTGATGGGTTACCAACAATATTCGCTGACCGGGCGTCGTCCCCTTTCTTTATGTGCTTTACAGGTCCTGAGTAGATATGGCGAGAGCGTTAGCCGTTGATAGTATAGATCCCCTCAACATTGTAGTTAATGTTTTGGCCTGTGTGCCACCGTTGTTGAATAATTAGTTGGATGGTTTTAGACTTGCCTGTGAGTTCACGTTGGGGTGAACGTGGCATAACACTCATTGATTTTCCCTGTTTTATGTTAGACTTCCGCTATGTTTACGTTTAATGATATGTGTTGGTTAGTTTACCCTGCGTATTTAAGATTTTAAATTGGCATGAAAATCGGGGGTGTTATATAAACGTCATGCTAGTTTCTTTGAGTCGTGAAATAGGAGGTGCGCGAGACCTAATTGTAAATGAGTATAGTGATATGAAAAAAAAATATAAAGTACTAAGAAAAAATTGTTTTGTTCTCATTATTGTAATTGTTGTGCGTGTAGTAAAATGGTTGGTTTGGGATGGTAATGCAATGGTTTTGTTCAAGTAGATTGTAATGTATTAGGTGCCAATGTAATGAATAAAAAATGCACATAATCAAAAACCTGCTAATATATTCAATTAATCAAGCACCGGATTAGGTCTCACACTTGTATCAAAAACCTGCCAATTAATCAAAAACTTGTCCATAATAAAAACTTGTCTGTAATGACATTTGTATTAAAAAAACCTGCCAATTGATAAAAAATCTGCCTGTAATGAAATTTGTATTCAATTAAAACCTGCCAAGCACTGTATTCATTTATACATCCACATACATAGCACTGTAATTAATCAAGCACTGTATTCAATTCACAACCTGCCAAGGTATTCAATTAATGAAGCATTGTATGCCCAAATTCACATAGTCAATGATATGTTCATCCACAAAATCATACATCCACATACATAGACATTTGTTCATCCACTAGCTAGTGAAAAAGACAAAGGAAGTCACTACATAAACACTAGCTAGTAACATGTCAAAACATGCCAAGGTATTCAATTAATGAAGCACTGTATGCCAAATTGACAGTAGAACCATGATTTGAATTTAGCCACTCTTAAACATAATCTCTAAGCCTCTTGAACTGACTCTCATACCATATATCAAACTTCTTAAGAATCACCATTATTGCCCTTCTACACATGCTCACTGTCATATTGATGTTCAACTCTTCTTTAATGGCCCTACTCAACTCTGAATAACCAATACTAGGATTTTGCCTCACATTTTCTTCATATTTCCACTCTACCCACTTCTGACTAATTATCCCTAAGGTGAATTCAGTGTTGCATTTATGCTCCAACATCATTGATTTAACTTGAAAACACATTGTTCTTTCTTCACAACCTCCACTAACATGAAAAACACATCCCTTTCCAAGACATTTTACCCTAACATACTTTAATCCATTTTTCTTTTCCAAAATAAATCCATCTTTGTGTGTACAACATAACTGTAACACCCCGTGTTACGACCTCTAAAACCAATTAATCATTTAACCAATTATCCAAAGAAAGAATTAAATTACAATAATTAATTTGGAAAAGGCCCATCATAGTCCGTGGGCCCTCACCTCTAAATCCAACCCCTAGTCCTAAAAGGAGTAGAGTTAGCAAGCCTGAAGTATTTGGGCCCTGATTAGGACTCTTAGATATATAAATAAGGGACATAAGGAGGCACCTAGAACCCCCACCACAATAATCCCCCACCACACAAGAAGTTCCAAGAATTCCCCAAGGAGAAATCAAGAAAGAAGAAAGCTTCAAGAAAGACCCTTCATAGCCAAGGAATTAATTAAGGCAAAAAGGTAACTCATGTCTTAACAAAACCTATTTTCATAGCTATGATTCCCCTCTTAGGATTCCCCCTTATTCTTGTGTGTTGATGATTCGTTATAATGATATTGATAATTGGTGTTATGATTACATGGGTGATCTTGATGATAAGAGGTTCTTGATGATTATGTGGTGTTCTTGATATTCTTGATGATTATATGATGCTCTTGATGTATATTTGATATTCCTACCGAATCTTGATATTAGAAGATGAATTGTGTTCTTGTTGAAATAAAAGTAATTAGAACCCTAGGTTGTATCGGGAAACTCGTATGGTGTTGTTCTTGGTATATTGGGTGGGAATTCGTATGTTTGGGTGTTGATTATGTTTAGAAAAGCATGATAGGTTATGTGCCATATGATCTCGCTTTTGGATCTGTTAATTGTCTACGTGTTGTTGTCAATTGTGTTTGAAAGTATCTAAGCATGGTTTCGGGTTCCACAATGGTTCCCGGGGCGTTTTCTGTGATAAAAGAGTCAGTGGGGGGTAGGTGGGAGTAGGGGACCCGCCACCTACCCGCGGCCAACATGGGCAACACCGGCAGCGGGCAGCCGGCGGGCGGGCAGCTGCCCGCCGGGCACCCGCTGCCCGGAATCATGCCACCGGCGGGCAGCCGGCGGATGAACCCTCACCCACCAGCTACCCGCTGGAAAATACCCCACATCGGGATTCCAGCTTCCCCGTTTGATGTTCCCCCGACCCCCGTGGTGTCCCAACAGACTCCGTCTATCGTGCCTATGTCTAGTTTGATATTTCGGGTACCGTTCGAAGGTTGTATGAGTCTTATATATCGCATGCTAGTTGAATTGGTATCTCGTTGACCTAGGTAAGAGAAGTATGCACCCCTTAGGATTACTCTTAGTATGTGAAGGATCACGCATAGGTTTTGTTATACGTTTTCTCCCCCTTCCCAATGTGTTAATGTGGGTTGCATGTGCTTGCTATGTGTTATGTGTGCATGATACCCCAATCCGGTTGCGATCGGATTGGTTATTCCTGAGCTGCGGTTCAGAAGCTGGCTGCGGTCAGATTTATACTCTCGGGCTACGATCCACCGTTTGGTTGCGATCAAACGTTTTACATGAGCTACGGTTCATATTTCCTGGCTGCAGTCAGATGACATACTCTTGGGCTGCGGTCCACTGTTTGGTTGCGATCAAACTATGATGTGCTGCGGTTCATCGGTCGGTTACGATCAACCCCTCCGTGTTGCGATACGGGGCAGGGTGCTGTGGGGCCGTGTCAGAGCTATATGCGCTGACCCTCATGTATGGGCATGCGATTGGTCATGTGGTGCCAACAAAGTGTGCTTATTTGATGAGAAGTGGATAAGATGTTGTTATGTGTGTTTTAAGAACGTGACTATAGGATTTATGCTAGCAACTGTATATGCTTGGTTATGTGCTTATTTCTATCTATCATGCCTGCTCTCTATACTGGAAAACTGTATATGCTTGGTATAACTGTTGACTGTGCTTATCCCTATCTGTCGAGTCTATTCCCTGTTTTGAAAGCTAGATTCTCTTAGGATATATCTTCATGCTTCGAAATGGTTTCGTATATCTATGTATATATCTATATGTATCGTATTTCAACGCGTTGGAGTGGTTTGCCAGCATCTCTCGCTGAACAGATATATTTGGCTTTCAGGCACAGAAGAGTAGACACTGGAGCGCGCTAGAACCTTGGAGCGTAGAAGTAGTTAATTTCCCTTTCGGCCTGCGTGCCATGATTATGTAGTTACATTATTGAGGATAATAGTTAGTTAGCCTGTGCACCTGAGTTGTCTAGCTCAGGTGTGGCATAGCACCCCGTACTCTTCGTATTATGTTTTGGGAATTAATGAGATTTCACCTTTATTATATATGCTTCAAAAGTTTCAAAATTTCGGGGTGTTACAGTTGGTATCAGAGCCTAAGTTTGACCCTAGGATAAGACTATTAAGACAGACCCTAGGACATTAAGCTTAAACTCTAGGTACTTAGAAACATAGGATCTAGGAATCTTAGGACGCGCGGTGAGATTGTGAAACCTACACATAACCTCCCCTCACTTTATCCCTCTCTAACTTAAAGAAACTCCCCCTTCACTTATTGCATTAAGGTAAGGACGCAAAATAACATCGACCTATGAACACCAGGATGACACCGAAAAGGAGACAGGCAGGAAAACCGAAACTCCCCACTCAGGAATTCCTAACTCAGAATCTGCAACGCCTGGCCCAAATTGCCCAGGCACTAAGTACTACCATTCCCCAACCCTTACCAACAAACGAGAACTTGGAGATCCACCACCAACTCTCGGCACACCTACCACCCACCCTCTCGGGAAACGAAGACCCCACGACCCTCGAGGAGTGGATCGGGACTTTTGACAAAATATTCAGGGCAACTAAATGCCCCGAAAACCACCGAGTAAGAATAGCCTCCTTCTACTTCAGACACGAGGCCGACACCTGGTGGGCTCACGAGGGACCCACATGCGAACAAAGCCCCGGATTCAACTGGGAAACCCTAAAAACACGGCTACGAGAACAATTCTATCCCAACCATCTAAAAGCCGCCGTATATGATAGGCGTATTTTACACCCAAATTTTAGTTACATTTTTATAATTTTTTTGCATTAGTTATTTATAATTATTTAATAATTACTTGATTTTAGAGTTTAATTAATTAATTAGTATTTTATAATAATTATCCTTCTCTCCATCATCATCATCATCATCATCATCATCATCATCATAATAATAATAGTGATGACCCAACCGCCCCATTTTCTTAGAAAAATGACAAAACACAACTTAACTTTATATTTTGTTTCTTCCTAAGTACAGCGCATCAAGGAATTGATGCAATTGAAGTTGTCAAGGTGAGCACTATTCTAACGGCGTCTCTTGCGGAAAATTCGATTGTGCAGCGCGAAAATTTGAAATGGGCGGTGGAGATTGAACGAAGTCTACTTTGAAAATTGTATAAATAGTAGATTATTTTATTTTTTCAACGTTCATTCTTCCCCTCTCGATTATTCTGTAAAGCTGTTATCAATGTTCATTCATTGCTAATTTCTTTAGCTTGATTTAGTGAATTGAAGCCCCGGAATTGATTATGCTGTAAGATTATTTATTTATTTTTATTATATAATTTTTATGCATTTGGGTATTAAATATTCTTCTAAGTTATTTGAATAGTTGTATCATTTAATTGCTAGGGAGGCCTACTAGTTATTTACTTGATATAATTATTTGCTATATTAGATAATGTTGTGCTACAAATTATTCTAATATTCAGTAGCAACTGGGTTAATTATTGACGGCTTAGTGATAATTGGACTCGGGAAGAATATTTTCCTAAATTAAATGCAACCGCTTGTGCTTGTGTTATTTAGTTTGTCGGTTTTCCTAGTTCCTTTTGCTGCTATTAAATTAAATCTATAGCGCTTGTCTTAGGTTATTTAGTAGTTAGGGGTAATTAAACCGCTTTTGCTTTATTTACCTACAACTAAGGGAAAACAGAAATGAAATAATTTCACGACAAATATTCAATTGCATATTAATTACTTTATTAATCAATGATCAGTGTTGAATTCCGGTGGTGGATC